GGGGTGGGGTGGGGAGACAGACTTTAGGTAATGAATATGCACTATAAACGTCGGGAACAGATAGCCTAAGAGGAAACAGTGGGTGATAGTCGTAGTCATAGAGACGACGGACCAGCCACGTGGCTTTCCAAGCAACCACTCCCCACCGTAAATTCAGGCAGAATCATTCTCTACATTCAGGGAAACATTTCTCTTGCCATTCGTTGAACAAGTACGTTATGACTGATTAGGCTTACTTGTCTAATCTTTAATCCTATAGAGGCCTGTCTAGTGTTTTACGGCATTTACGTGTGTCACGCATCAGGCAAAAATCTAGCTAAACATTCATGCAGTCACTCAAACATCAGTCAGAAACCTTCTCTCAAAGATACATTTCTAGTGACCAATCAAAAAACATTTCAGTCCCCCCCCCCCCAACTTTTCACCGACCAGTCCTAGACCTATGTGTCAGTGGAAAGTTGGATGTGAAAACGCTGTCAATCACACTCTTTGTTTGGTATGAGGGGCACGCTCACCAATTTTCTAGGCTTGTCTTATGCAGGCTTGCAGGTGGTAGTGAAAATTTCCCCTTGTCAAGCTTAACCTGTTGGTGTGTTTTGCGGATCGGAGCGTGCGTTTAGAGGGAGTGACCGTGCGTTTATACGACTAAATTATTTTGTAAAAAACCTGTTAGATGACGAAAGTGTGCTCTTGAGCGGAGCGTGCTTTTGTATGGTGGGCGTTTGGGCGGAGACTACTGTACTACCATAAGCGGTGTCAGTACTAGCACCAGGCCTCCAGTACAGGTACTGGGAAGGTGCCAACACCAAGTGGTACAAGTTCTGGGAAGGAGCCAACAGCAAGTGTTCAACAGATTCATCACAGCGGGTGATGTTCCATTGGAACTAAAGCCCCAGTCACTGTGCAGTGTGAAGTAGCTGTGATGTCAGATGCACAGCACAAAGCACAAGGTGACCTTGATACATGCCATCTAGTTCAAAATTTACAACCAACTAAAAATAAGATTATGTTTGTTAAAGTTTAGATTCCGCATCAAATGTGAAAAACTTTGCTTATTTTGATATGCTGATTACGAAAATTAGATCATATTATAGCTTCGAATTATATGTCTAAAAATTTATTTACAAAGTTTAATCCTGCACAGCGATAAATTTCCCGGCTCGTCTCTCACAAGTCTGATGTAGACGACTTTGACCGTTTTTCGCGCCCTTGTCTCCTCGTCGTACCCTCTCCTAGAAAATTTTTTTAAATCAACGCATCGGGGCGGGAGGGGGTCGAACGGAAAAATGCAGCAGTCAGAATACTAGACTTGCAGAGAGCTTCTGACGTCATCTATTCTGAGTTCTCGGCGCCTAGTACCTGTAGTACCTATAAATAACAGAGATTCAAGTTCGCCGGAACCGCCAGGCACTTATTTTCACAAACCCACATACCTACATCCTCAAAGAAACCTGCACAATAACGAGTGGCTGTACATAATTTCAATCATACTTTTTAAAAAGTTTTTCCCGGTGTATTTGAAAATATTTATTATTACACCAATACAGCAAGAAAGTTGTTCAATAAAGAATGAATTTATTTCCTGTCAAAAATATAACGAAGGATATAAATTACACTATTTGACGATTAGGAAGCTTTTCTACTCGAATTTCACCCATATAATCACCCATAAATGACTTGTCTAAGGATGAAATTGACTGTTTGTTTGCTTGAATTAGGAGAAGCACACATAAACACAACAACATCATTTAGTGCAGGGGAAAAATATAACGGACTGACAGAAACAACAGAGGGAAAGTAAAGAAGTAGTACCTATCAGTAGCATTCACAAACACCTGCCAACGAGCTTGAATATATTGAAATTCAAAGAATATTCGCATAATAGTAATAGCCATATTTGTATTTAAAATGAATACTGAAAATAATTTCTCAGTCCAAAGCAAAAGAAATGCAAAAGTTTAAGATTCAATGTAGAACTGCAAGACATTCTGGAACATTATATTATAAAAATAGAACTTAATCCATTCTTATTTCTATCAGGAGAGGAAATGATACCAAAAAAATAGGACATATCATATATATATATAAAATTAAAAACTCAAACTTCCACACTGTAAAATTACAGCTATAAAGTCCCACCTTGACTGAGGTAGGACTTTGCCCACAAACAAAAAGATGGCTTTTTCAGATGCCAACTGTATCCGTTTCCGAATAATCCACATAAACTGAGCAACAGAGATGTCATTGGGGACCAAGAACTTGCGTTTGTCGATTGACTGGATCGGGGACTTCGGTTCCTTCTCCACAATAACCTGAGGATTTTGAACATAATTTTAACTATTACTAGGAGAAAGAAAAAAGATGTATGTCAAGGTCTGAAAGAATTTTTAAAAAGTAAAAACTGATGATGAAAATGATAAACAAATTATTCAAAAACACAAAGAACAAACGACAAATGAGGTTTGATGACGATTAAGAACTTGAAAAGCACAACAATGTCCAACTCCAAGGAGACTTGCTTACACTTCTATGATAAACTTGCAATGACAAACGTGACACGCTATGGAACTGTTGCTGGCACCAAACGTGCAGTACATTTCTCATACTCATACCTATACACTTAAACTTAAAGAATTTGTTAAAACAAAGAGAATAAGTCAATTTACTTGAAATAAGCTACATAAACAGCTAACATGATGAAGGTGAAAATAAAGAAGCAGAAAATGCAAAGTGAAAATACAAAATCACGAATTCTCGGGTATCTTGAACATAATGCTTGGTCCCATTAAGTCCCACTGTTTTCTTTGTATTGACAAAATGGAGTTACTGAACACTCCGAACACACAACACTTGAATCTCGAACAAATCTACTTCGCATTCTCAACTTAAGACTGGGCTTTTCAGCCTTTTTGGCCACAGGTAGGTGTTTCTTTGTTATTACTACAGCCAAAACGTAGTCCTTGTCTCACTACGAGAGGCTGGAGGAAGGGAGATTGGAGAGTGATGCTGACGAATTACGGAAATCTCGAACACTATTTTGAATCCCTGATGAATTCGAGTTACCTGTGTTTGACTATATCTTTATCTACTGCTTAGTGTACGACTGTCATAAAGTGAGCAGTGAATATAAACCACAATTAGACCCTTTTGACCCCATGTCACCAAACTCAGCTTTAACTCAGCAACCACATTTTGTACCATGACTTATCAGACCCTGACACCAGTGTAAATGGGTCTTATACCTCTACAAAAACAGCATCAAACCTCAGTAACAATACTAACATGATCAGGGCAAGGAGTATAGCCTTCTGCCTTGCCCAAAATGCCAAATCACTGTTCTCAGTACAATAACATTTGAAACTTAATACTCTCTGCAGCATTTAACTTGTATATAGAATTCATTATAATTTGAGTTTGTTGATGTTTTGGTGGGTTTGCCTCCTCAACATCACTTTAAAAGAAATTGTGCCTAACGCTTGCAAACAACATAAAACTTACCGGAATTCTCTCTGGGTATTTAGCTCGAATCTTTGAAGACTCTCGAGACCTGACCTCTGCAGGCAATACAGAAGATGAGCGTTAAATTACATAGTACTGTTATATAACATCAAACACAAAAATAGAACATGGATACCACTGACAGTTAAAAATTCTCTTTGCAATCTACCTGTATTCTTGGTCTTGCTCTGTTGTCTTTTTAAACTTATTCTTAAGGCTGCCATAAATAGTCTTGATAGAACCAATTTTAAATACAGACCATTAGAACTTTCTTTTGAGGTGTCAACCTGCATAGGCAATCATTATTCCCTTAAACTTCATCAAAATATGTTGATCACGGTAAATTAAATAAATAAATTTTTTAATGTATTCCTTACAACACATTTAGAATTTACTTCTTTTTCAAATATTACCATCCACTCTATTTTCTTCACATCTAAAAACAATGCTATAAGACCATTTCCTGTTTCAGCAATGTCTCAAAGCAACTGAAGGTCTTTTGTTGATGTTGTTGAAAAACACTCCCCAACAAGAAGAAACAACGCCAAATAGAGATAAAAATTATGTTACATTATTCTATAACAAGCTGCCCATGTTCCTTTAGCACTAGCACAACAGCTTAGAGCTTGGGGCAAAGGTCATCATAATATATCGCTTTCAACCGCCACTACGTCATCATCATTGCTTTTCTCATCCGGCACCAGGGTATAGGCCCCCGACACTTTCCATCTTTCTCTATCCAGGGATAGCCTCTTGACGTTATTATTCCATGTCTTCCCATTTGTCTGTAAATCAATTTCAGTGATTCTTTTCCTCGTTCCACGAAGTCTTCCCTTTGATCATTTACCCTATGGATTCTAATCCAACACTTTCTTTGTTATACAGCTGCCTGACTTCTTGAGAGTATGTCCAATCCATCGCCACCGCCTTCTTCCTACTTTTCTGTAAATCAATTTCTGTGATTCTTTTCCACGTTCCACGAGGTCTTCCCCTTGATCATTTACCCTATGGATTCCAACCCAACACTTTCTTTTTATGCAGCTGCCTGACTTCCTGAGAGTATGTCCAATCCATCGCCATCGCCTTCTTCCTCCTTCATCTCTAACTGGGATCTGTCTTGTTTTCCTTAGCACTCCTCTTTGGTGACTCTGTCTTTCCATCTGATCTTCAGTAACTTTCTTAGACACTTTTAATAGAAAAACTGGATCCTCTTTATGCAACTCTGAGACGCGTTCCATGTCTTACATCCATAAAACAATACTGAGTTCACATTTGAACAGAAAATCCTCAGCAATGTTTGAAGTGAAATATCTCTAGTTTTCCAAATCCTACTCAAAGATATGAAAGCAGCCTGTGCTTTTCTCAATTCAGGACTTTATTTCAGCACCTGTTCCTCCCTCTCTGTCAATTATACTCCCAAGATAGTAGAAGGATTCGACGTCTTCTAGTGCATTTCCTTCTATTGTGACCTGCTCCTTTCGTTGTGAACCTGTCCTTAGGACCTTGGACTTTCCGAAGAGGATCCTCAATCCAACAGACTCTGATAGGCTGTTTAATACTTGAAGTCTTTTTTTCTTTTCTTTTTTTTTTTATAGTAGAGGGTTTTACGGCGCTCGCAAGAGCATAAGGTCATACGAACGACAAGGGGTGGGTGTCAACAGAGAAGTCTTTACAGGGAATCAGACTTAAACTGCTCACCTTTCTAGCTTCAACAACACAAGGTCTGCTTCGACTATCAAGGCACCCCAAAATAGCAGGTCACAAGAGAGTGACAAACATACAAAAGAAGTAGAGGAAAATGACAATAGTAAGGATCAGGAAAGAAAAAGCAGCAGTTCCCTGTTGTAGATCAGGCACCGTTATGAGCGTGACATGAGTCAGCCCATTTACAATTCTACTATGCTTGAACGAGAAATGTCCCCCCTTTGGGAATGGCCTAAAGACACTTCATATCATCTTTGCTTGCATCTCTTCCTGAGTGTGTGACAGAAGCACCAAGTCGTCGGCAAAATCCAACTGCGTCCATGGTGATCACTGTATACCATTTCTGTGTCCTCTGACGGTTTCCTTCATCAGCCAATGGACAGCCAATATGAAGAGGAAAGGTGAAAGTTAACATCCCTGTTTCACACCAGTCTTGATGTCAAAGCTGTCAGTGAGCTGGCCATCATGTACAACCCTGCAACTTGTCCCCTCCTAACATACACTTGATGAGGTCACCAACTTTCTGTGGGATTCCGTGATATCCCATTATCTTCCATAGCGTTGCTCGGTCTATACTGTCAAAGGCCTTCTCATAGTCAAGGACGTTGACGATCAGCAGGGAGTTCCACTCCAAGGACTGTTCCACAATGATCCTCAGCATGGCAATCTGGTCGGTGGTTGGGCGATTTTTCCGGTAACCAGTCTGTTTGTTCATCCTGTAGTCCTGGATCCACTGCAGTCTTCATTCTCTCCAGAAAGATTTTGTTGAAGACCTTACCTGGTATAAAGAAAAGAGTGATCCCTCTGTAGTTGCAGCAGTGGCTGAGAGCCCCCCTCTTTTTTTGGAAGCTTCATGAGGTGTCTTTCTTTCCAATCCTTTGGGAACTTGCCCTCATTACAGATCCTGGTAAACAGTGGGAGGAGGAGGTGTGTCGCCACATTGGCATCTGCTTTTAGGGCCTCAGGTGGAATCTGATCAGGACCAGCCACTTTACCTTTGTTTAGCTTCTTAATGGCATCGAGAGCCTCTTGTTTTGAAAGACCATCACAGAAGATTGGTAACTTATTTCTTGCTGGCAGGATGTTTGGTAGGTTACTCAGTGATGGTCTGTTCAGAAGACTGTTGAAAAGCTCTACCCATCGTTACGATGGCTTTCTCCTCTTGGTCCTTTACTGGTACTTCAGGTTTCCCATATTCTCCAGCAAGAGTCTTCGTAGTCTGGTAAAGGATTTGCATGTGTGCCCTCCTACAGCTGCGTCCTCTGCCTTCTCTGCCAGCCTGTTCATCAATTCCTCTGTGTTTTTTTCTCAGTGAATTCTTTATATCCTTAGCAGTAGTCCTGTACTGCTCCAATACATCCGCTCTTGATCCTCTTGTTCTACTAGCATTTGTTTCGGCTTTCAGCTGTCTTCTAATCCTAATATACAGGTAAGCTGCAGAAATATTTCATTTGAGAAAGTAGATCTACCAATACTGTAGAAGACAAGAAGCCGTTTGGGCCACTTTTCATTACTTAGAACTACAGAGTAAAAGCAAAATCATTAGAATAGAAAGGAGTCTGATGAGCTCATTAAAAAAACACCCAATTTTAGACCAGTACTAAAGAATTTGGAACAGTAAAAAAAAGATTAAATGCTAATGTTGAAAATGATTTGGGTAGGTAATAGGGTCACTATTATTTTGATTTTGGTGTTTTCATGGAATTAGCATGGCTAAATTTCACAATGTATGAAAATACAACCCCCTACTCTCCCCAACCTGATACACTCATTCACCCTATTATAAATGAAAAATGCCTACCCTATTACCTACAAATATGGATATGCTATCACTTTTAATTTCAAGGCTTCCAGGCAATAAGTAATTGGGAATTTTTAAATTTCATGACCTCTATGAATTACACAGTAAAGAGAAAATGGCCGTCAAAGATGAAAATAATCTTCTGAGATCCCTGTGAGCTGTCAATAAAAAACATGATTTTGAGAAATGACTATCAACAAAGTCAATTTAAATACATACACCGGATTTGCTACTTAGTCTCATTCATTCATGTTTTCAATAGAGCAAAAACCTCAAAAACAATATTGCCCCTAAAAAAGACAGCTAATGTTGAGGGGGATGAACCACCCTGAAACAGAAAGAAGGTTAAAACTTCTTTATCACCTGAGTTGGGAGACCATGTAAAGGATGTGTTCAGCTTGTGTCTTGAAAGGAGTTGTTGAGAGGTGTAGAAGAAAATGTTCCATATGAGAATATGCATGGAATGTTGTGAGCAAGACGTTCAAATAATTATTTGTCAGTGTGAAAAAAAATGTTAGTTTTTCTTGCTTTAAGAAAAAGGAGTTCAACGTGGACAGTTTTGGGAAACAATCTTTCATGGGTGACAAGAGGCCCGAGATGTGAAATTAGTTTGACCAATGCCTGCCGCCCTGACTGTATGACAAGTTGAGATAAGAGCTCCTCGAATTTTTGTTAAATGCGCAGGAGTGGGTAGCATTGGCTAACCGTGCTTGTCACACCGATAGGTGGTGGGCTAAGGGTGGAAGCAACGGAGATGTTAAAACCGGGGGTGAGAATAGTGCAGTTGTAGGCCTTTCACCCGGGGTGAGATCCAATTACAGAGTTTTCCACACCTTTTCCTCGCCAATTCGGACTACAATTTTATCAGCAAACCCGAGTAGTAGTGTCCTGCAACTGTTTTTCAATTTTCCAGGTAGTCAGTCATGATGATACCTTCACAATCCCAGAAACACTACATCTTAGTTTAGTTTTAGTAGAGGTTTTACAGAGCTCGCAACTGCATAAGGTCATATGAGCGCCAGGATTTATGTCTGTCTACTAACTGTCTAGATCTAGACCTAGGCCATAGATCTAGAGGAACAGGTCTACCCTGAGCCGAGAGGGCGCTGAAACTCTCCTACCGGGTCTGTATACTTCGTGACTTTGTTCCCGGTTACCGGGTCTGTATACACTCCCTTTCAATAAATGGTAAACCCGCTTGTCCAGTTCTTCAAAATGTAAGTCTGTGTCCATCACTAGAACCTAGATCTACTACTAGATGACTAGATCTAGGAAAATGTAAGCTCACCAACAAGCTCCACAATTCAAATAATTGTACCGATAACTAGTTAGAGTTATTCGCATAGCACAATTGTACGGATAACTAAATCGAAGTGACTATTCAGACTCGAGTCCGCATAGACAAAAATTAAATGAAGTGGCTAGCCGTACTTAGATCAAGGTTTGGCCCTATCCACTCAAACCTGTTGAGTACAGAGGTCTCATTAGATCTAGATCTAGATCTAGTAATTATTCAGGTTTAAATTGCAAGTCAGAAAGGCACCTTTTGGT